GGGGGGGGGAGCCGGCTGCTCCTGGCGCTGGGTGTGTTGCCGGATCCGGCTGGCGAGTCCTGGCTCCCAGGGAGCCGCACCTCGTCTTGGCTTCAGCTCCAAATGCCCTGCGGGGCCCCAGCTCCCGGTTGAGGCCTGCAGCCCTTGCTGCCGTGCCGAGCACGGGGTGACATGCTCTCGCCTTGCCTCGAGTGGCTCCGGGCTGGACAAGTGGGGACAGATCCCCCTTGCAGCAGTCGCCTGCGTTGCAAGGAGGGGGTTGAGCCAGCGCCTGGCACGCAATGTGGCTCCGGGGCTTTCTGACGCCGGCGGGATGCTCTGGGGGTGGGATGCACATAAAAATCCTTTTCCCCAGGAAACCAGAATCAAACCTATCCGTCTTCCCTGCACACGCGGCACATCCCGTGGGTGCCAGTTGTGCGTGGACTTTGGTATAGCTGTCCCACGGCCAGGCTCAGCTCTTCATGGGAACCTCCACACCACAGATTTGGGGTGCTGCAATCCCCATGGTCCTGCCACCTGAGTGACCTTCGCGCTGGAGTTGCTGAGGAGCGCTCACATGTTCTGCCCTGCCACTGCCACCGTGATGGGCAGGATTGTCTAGCAACAGGCTGGGACCAGCCATTGGTGCCCTGCTGCTTTGGGTTTGGATGCATGTAGCCGTCTCCCCCCCCTTCCCATCCCCGTGGCTCCAAAACAGCTTTTACAATTCCCAGTGGACCCTCCTGCAGCAGCTCGGGTGCTGCAAACATCCCTCAGCTCTGAGGCACCGTCAGGGCTCATGGCCGGAGCAGGAGTCAGGAACAGCAGGATTTCTCCAGTCCCTCTCCTGTGCAAGGTGCTTAATGTCACCGGGCAGCCCTGTGCTGAGACATAAAATGAGTCCACCTCCACAGCGGAGCCAAGCATCGTGCACCCAGCCCCAGCCCCGGGCGGTGGTGCTAGTCTGACACCATGCAGGTGCTACGGCTGTTACAGCCTGGGAAACGCAAAAGCACCCACTTAGCAGCAGGACCTACAGAGGAACCCCGGCCATGCATGGTTAAGTGTGGGTTTGGGTGTCTGACCGATGGGCAGTCAGAGAAGGAAGTGGTGGGAATGCCAGGAGGGCTGTCTCCAGGGTCACACAAGGGAAGAGGATAAGCACCAGACTGGCACCTAGATCGACGCCTCCTCCAGTACTCACTCAGCCTCCCGCGTTTTGTGACCAGGGGCTCCCTGAATCAGAAATGAGTGATTTATTTTCTGTGGAGGTAACCCAGACCTTTGGGTGGGAGGTAGGGTTGGGTTGGGTGACCTCCAGAAACCCCTTCCAGCCGACGCACATGGACACTCATCACAAGGTGCCTTAGAAAGCTCACTCCTTGGCTTTTTCTGGGCCAAGCAGGTTGCCTGGGAGGAAACAGCCTTTGCAGTTGCATATGGGTCAACAGCTCAATCTCAAGGACTACAGGGACAAAGCTTAATCTACCTTCTAGTAAGATCAGGCTGTGATCTTGGTCTACAAGAAGGACTGAGCTTTTCTCCCAGTGTTTAGGAAGCTGGCTCTGTCCACGCGGCTCTTCACTAGCTACGCCTGAAGGCACCACCTAGCCTCCACCCACTCTCTGGACCGGCGGCCTCCCAGCTCCCCAAATTTCCTGTTTTGCAAGACTCACAGCCTTGATTTGCATTTGCGGCAAGGACCCTTCATGTGGCCCTTGTACCACAAAGCGGTCTTAAAGGGTACATGAGCACGTACTGTGGAAAATAGTCCTAAATATGAGTTTAAAAAAAAAAAATCATGTTCTAGAGATTGGTACTCTTTCCGCAAAATAAGCAACATCGCTTGTGTCCGTGGACACACCAAAGGCAAACTCCGTATTAACCTCACAGCACACATCTACGTAGCATCCAGCATTAAAAGGCCCCGTGATGAGATGACGAAAGCAGGATCCAGCCCATTAAAATGATTTGCCACCCGTCAGACACACTGTGAAAAGTAAAGGTATGCTCAGCTCATGCCTCAAGCCAGCTCGTTAGAAAGCAGTCCACAATTTGTAAAGATAACCACAGATCTTTTTTATTAAAAAAAAAAAAAAGGAAGTAGAAAAGTTTGGCTGAAAATACGAACAACAACAAAAATAGCATTCACACAAGAAATGTTTCTCCTTTGAAAACTTTGTCAACAGCTACAGCATTTCAAATCATAAAACAATCATTGTATAAAAACATATTTATTTAAATTAAATATTTTATGAAAACTCATATCTACACTCATTCAAAATGCACAGAGTCACACACACAAAAAAGATGGAATGTATTAGCTTAAAACCTGTGAAGTTGTGTTTTTTTTTTTTTAAGTATTATTTGCAATTATTATTAATACATGTTCAGGACTGAAACCAGAAAAAATCATAGCCACGCTACTAACTAATCATTACCAAGTGCCATACAGTAAACACTAAGATTAATCATGTCATATAACTGATTTAAAATAAAGCTTCATCTTTATGAAAAGAAAGAGAACTCTAGCAATACAAAATCTGAGGGAAAAAATAATAGAACGTATAAATCAATGTACAGCTTTATTACAAGCAATAATACGCTGAAGTTAGAGGAGACATTGGGCCCTACGTCTCTAAACAGTAAGTGTTTGCCTTCAAATGATGTTTGAGAAAAAAAAAATTGTGTCTGCTACATTATCACCTCTTTTCCAAAGTGCTCATCCAAATAAATTCTCCCAGCCTGGGAAGGAGGGTGGGGGAGGCCCAGACACAGATTTAAATTCGTGGCGGTGCCTTTTTACACGCCGGGCGAGACTCGCTCGTCCCCGAGCCCGACCGACAGCCCGAATCCGCACGGGCGAGCGACAGGTTCCCGCTCGTTTTTTTGCAGCAACGTC